TATACTATTTCAGGGATGTAATGGTTTGTATGAGGATAAAGAACATGTTACCTGTCACCTCTGTCAACTTAAGACTGAAGTTTGGGGTCCCTCAGTCTGTGTCTAAGTGAGTGTTACAACTGAATACAAGTCTTTATAGTGATAAAATGTGAAATTAGAGGTAAGATTTATATGTTTAAATGCATGTATGACTGAATACTTTGCAACAAAAATTGGATGTATGTAGAAACCTATTAATTTTTAATTGATTTATTTGTATAATCATTATATACTTTTGAAAAATGCTTCAAGTATATTATACCCTCTATTTTTAATTGATGACTTTAGCATTTCTCAGCATCTAGACAGCAGTGAGCAAACAGCCACACTGGAAAAGACAGACAGTACCATTCTGTGGAAATTAAAATCACTGGCTCCACATGCTGAATCTGTCGCTCAGTTTAGGGTAGGTCAAATCTACATGATCCGTATATAATCTTGGTTTGAAGTACAATGTACATATGCATCAATGATTTTTTTGCATCTAAACAGTTTATTGATGTGCGAATCAAAATTTTGCAAAGCAGTTTAACAAATCACAACAGACCATTCTACGGTGGCTGGTATAGGACATGGTATAAGATTTTTTTTTTATTAATTCGTGGCCACGAAATAAAAATTCGTGGGAAAGAAATAAAAAAAATTCGTGGACACGAAATAAAAATTCGGGGCCACGAAAGAAAGATTTGTGGCCACGAAATAAAATTCGTGGGAACGAAATAAAAATTCGTGGCCACCAAATAAAAATGTGTGGAAACGAAATAAAAATTCGTGGGAACGAAAAAAAATTCGTGGGAACGAAATAAATTCGTGTCCACGAAATAAAAGATAAAGAATCTAGTGTATTGACAGATCGGGTTCGTAATTTAGACGCCAGTGTGTGCATTGACGCTTGCGCTGATCTGCAGACAAAAAGCTGAGAAGATATGATATTTACATGTAGTTAAGCCTTTGTCCAGTGCATTTTTCAATGTATTTCACACATTTATTGCTATATGTTTCAAATAAATAGCTTTTTTAAGTCAATCACTCAATGTTTATTCAACAATCAGAGTTGGCCCCTATTATCAGGAACGTGACATCTTAAAAATGAAAGCAATATCCAGATATTGTCATGATTGTTTTCACATAAAACTCAACTGTGTAATACACATGAAAGTGTGTGCTCTTGAATAAAGGTACATGTAATTGTTTAGGAAAAAATGCGATGAACTAGTGAGATCAGTATTGATACTATTCATTCGTTCATCAGCTCTTCATGCAGTTAATTGGCAAAAACCAAATTTTAAATAATTAATGATGATTCAGGCATATTATTCAATACCCATAATGATTTTAAACAAAAATCCATTTGGCTCAGTCCAACTGAATGATAATAATACATAAGTCCGTTCATTTTGAATGACATACAAGAGAAGAACCTAAAAATGACATTATATACTAGTAGCACAACTTTATTTCGTGGCCACGAATTTTTATTTCGTGACCATGAATTAATTGAAAAAAAAATCATACCATGTCCTATCCCAGCCACCGTATCATTCTGTTAAAACAGTAATTTGTATTCTGATTGGGTATAAAGAAGTGTAATTTTTTTTATAATCTAGAGTTTTTTTATATAAAGATTTTACTGCTTTGGATTATTAATGCGTTATCAATGTATAAAGATACACTTCTTTTTCTACTCCATTCTTGTTTTTTAGTTGATTAGTCAAAGCGATGCTCTAAATAGGGAGGATGTTGGACCTCTAAGAATGGAGTTTGAAATTTCTGGTCATCTGCTATCAGGGATGAAGATAAAAACTGTGAAAATTGTGAATCAAGAGCAGACAACTCCACAGAAGTGGCTGAGATACATAACTGTCATGATTCATTTCTTGTCAAACTTGTGTAGTCAAGAAAATGAAGAGAAGATAAAGGTTTATAAGAAAAAGTGTGCAATTTATTTTTATTATAGCCTATTAAAGTTACCTTTATTACTGCAATGTGTACAATTTGTTTTTGTGATAGATACATGTGATTTAAATCTCTTGATTATTCCCAATGTGTAGAAAACATCAATGATATATTATCCTCAGTCAGATGATTATATGAAGTTATGCACACTGTATGATGCTGATGACAACAACTACATGTATATTCTTTCAAAAAACACTGTTTTTTAAACTTTATACTTTCTGATATTATAATCTACAGAATTTCACAATGCAATGCATTGTAATTTTGTCTTGTTGATAAAAGATCATCAATATTATTAGTCCAGTGTTTGATCTAGAACATCTAATTTATAAGAAACGGAATATTTACACGTACATTTAATGAATATATATTTAAATCTAAGATTTTGATAGACAGTGAAGGGCATTGAAGTTTCGGGGAAAACATTTTCCAATTTGCTTCTCTTTGTTTGCTTACAATGTTACTGTTACAGTAATAAATACTGTTTATCAGCTGCAAAAAAGGAATTAAATTCAATGTAAATAAAGTATATTACATTTTCAAAATTACATTTACATTAAACACTTTGCTGCATACAATATCTAAGATTATTTTATTTTGTTCAACAATGACACCCAAATTAAAATACACATTTTTAAAAAAAATGTAAGTAGTGACCGTGTGGTAAAAAGAGAAAATATGCCATACATGTATGTATAATAATTATGCATTTTTCTTTTAAAACATATCATAAGACCTTAACAGAAGGAATGTTTTGTTACACTTACCGGGTAGATATAGACACGTAATTGTTAAATTATCTTTGGAATTAATTATTTGTACTAAGAGACTACAATTTTGTCAAATGTTAAATTCAATCATTTTATGCTGATGTATTATCAATTATAATTCTAATAAAATATTACAATATACACATTCTGTTCATGTGTAGGCTCTTCGGAGATTCACCTGAAAAAGAAGCGCCGAACGGGGGTAGGTACGGGAGGGGGTCGCCCCCTCCAGTGTTTGATCTAGAAAATTCTGAAAATTTATACAAAATCATGCGATTTTACAATAAAAAGATTTTTAATGAATATAAAACTTTAAAGGAATATAAATTTTGTATACCACAGAAAAAAGCAAAATATTTTGTAGGAAAATTTTATTTTTATTTTTATTTGTCTTTACGAAACACATTATATTATCGCGTGATATATACTTTGCTTTCATTCTGTTTTTTGTTGTTGTTCTGTTCAAAAAAGGAATGCCAAATTCAACTTTTTATTTTATAATCTTTATAATCCTTTTTAAAAATGGTTTACATTGAAAGGCGGATATTGCTCTTAATTATTTTTTATTTTTTGTTTAATATATATAAGTAAAGTCCAGTTTGCTAAGAAAAATCCACCTTTTTTTTAAAATATGTGGATATCGGCCTGGATAGCTCAGTTGGTAAGCAGAGAGAAAATATGCCATGCATTTTCTCCTTTCCTATTACAGATTTTGCCTTGACCACCCCTGGAATTGCAGGTGAAAGTCCTCATAAGACTTGGGTTGTGCTTAACAGGAGGGAGGAATGTTTTGCTGTGGATATCGGCCTGGATACCAGTTGGTAGAGCATGATAGATACACGGGTTATTGTTAATGCATAAACTTTCCTGTTACAGCTATTTGACTTAAAATGAAATAAAATTTAAAAGGCAAGACCTATAATTTTAAAGCAACTTTATTAATAATTCAATATATATATTATGCTATATATTTTTGTATTAAGAAAATGAATTAGGCTAATTCTATATAAAACACTGAATATTGAATGAGGACATGCAATTGGCAAAGATAAAATTTTAATCAGACTGGAAAAAATAAAGAGGTTTCAAGTATCGAGCAGTAGTAATTGGAAATATATACTCAGTACTCCATTCTTTTTTACACCAACTATCTATTGATAGTACAGTAGAAATTTAGCTTTCAGCAAAAAGCAAATCAGAAATGTCAAATGTGTCACTGTACAAAACAAACTAGCATTTGCAAAGCATCAATGCAATTAATTGTAGCTTAATTGATTTAGATATTTTGGTTCATTCTGACGAAGTCAACTGCTTAACAATAAGATATTGGCAGGTGAAAGATTTTATGAAATTGATAAGAATTTGACCCTCAATCATGACATTTATATCGTAGTGTTTTTAAATTAATCAAGGATTAATTCCTAAAGAACATATTTTTCTTGTTTATAGTAATATTTAGGCTATATCTATTTAATCCATGTTTATTATCTTAACAACAATTTAACATTCAATTGGGACACTATTTCTTTATATTAACACTTCCTATGTCTTTGTCCGCTATAAGAATTACAAATAGTTAATGTACTTTATTTCAACATAAATGTATGTTGTTCTTCGATAGGTGCGATTAAAAAATCACGTGCGAAGCGGGACAAATAGAGACAGAGACAGACACCCCCCCCCCTCCGAAAAAAAAAATCCATTTTATCTTATTCAGTTTTGAGAGTAAAGAATCAAGGAAAGAAAATTTAGTGCATGATGTTATTATTATGATATAGAGAAGATTTTTGGTTGATTGATCTTAACTCGCTCTTAGATACATTGGCCAGTAATACTTCTTCTGAAGATGTTTTTCTTTAGAAACTGAGGGTAGGGGAACATTTAACACTGCCATATTTTGTAAGTACAAAAAATTTAGATAGCACTTATATCAATTAAAATTGTTTAATTTAAGCAGTTAAATTAGTACAGTTTAACCTTGTTATCTCAAACTCAATAGGACCAAGAAAAAACTTGAGATATCTGAGGTGTTGTCAGATATCAAGGGTTAAAAATATGTAAAAAAAAAATCACATCTATGGTATTTGAGACACTGTATACAACTATTATTTGTGTCATCTTTTAATCATTAGTTTGAAATCAATCGGCGACAATTAATTTTCGCGACCGAGGAAACATAATTCTCTACAAATACTTACATCAAATTTCTTGGTTTGCAGCGATTAATATTCGCAAATAAAAGTTTGTCGTGAAACTTGCGAATATTTCTTGCACGTGAATAAAAGTTGGTTTACAGTATCAGTGTTCAAGATGTTGAAATTAAACTGTTTATTTTTTTTTGCTCTCACATCATGGGTACATTTATATTTCAAATAATTGACAGACTGAAGGAAACATACGTTTTCATTTCATCGGACGTGACAAACTGTTTTTTGTTGCCACAGCAAGCAAGGAAACGTCACCAATTCTTGTTGTAGAGGTTCTAACTAGGAAAGGTTTTTAAAGGGGTTTGATGGAGGATTATGGTATAGATGCAAAGATGTGTACTTTGAACGTGGTGAAATCACTAATTTCCGTGGGGGTTAATTTTCATTGTTTTCAAGGTATGAAGTGACAAACAAATTTTATGACCACCATGAAATGCGATTTTTCACATATATTACTACAAAACAATTCTTCAACCACGT